TTGCTTTTACAAATAAACTGCAGGTTTGCTGATAAATGATATTAGACATTGAGAGAGGAAAGAAACAATGGGGAAGAAAAATCCCTAAATTCTGTAAGAATTAAAAATTAAAATGGAGGGTTGTAAATTAGAGGAAAATCTTCAGTATCAGGAAGTCTGAACCTCTCAAGTACCTCAGCCAATGGGGAAAGGGAGAAAGGAAACTGGGATAAAAAGGAGTTTTATCCCAAAATAAAAATAAAAATAAATCTGCGTCCTCCAAAAATTTGAGAGACCCCAGGGGAATGCCCCATGGCCTCTCCCTTTATTCAAATAAAGTAAAAGGACTCTGTCTCCTTTTTGGACATAAACCTCTGGTGTTTGTGGATTAATTTTCCTAACACCAGCACCCCCAGCACCGTGGGGACTGTGGGGGCACACACAGCATGAGGGCAAAAGGAAGGTCCCTGCTATCACTTATGAGCAAGGAACTGGGAGCAAGTGTGTAGCCCCACATTTCTCCTCACAGAGAAAAGCAAGGCACAATTCTTCCCAAGAATATTTCTGGGTTTCGCATTCTCTGAACATCAGAGAAAGAAAACACAATTCTTATCACTTGCTGTGCTGTGTTTGTGCCAAAGCAGAATGCAACATGGAGATTGTTTACCCACAGTGATGGGGTTTTGTTTCCTTGGCCTGTCAGGGCCAGGTGTGTGTGTGTGTGTCAGGATTGTCACTGACAGTGACGAGATTCTGTGCAGGGTTGAGTGCTTGGCAGGTTCAGTTTTAGATGTATAGAATAATATAGTATAATAAGATAATTAATTAGCCTTCTGATAAGATGGAGTCCTCCTCATCATTCCTCCTTCATGGGGGCCCTTGCAGCATTCAATACAAGTGGAGAAAAAAGCCCAGAGGGGAAGGGGGTGATGGAGAGGATTAGTGAAGGCAGCACGAAGGGTCTGGGCTCTGATTTTGGGATCGTTCATGCCCTGAGAGCAGAGGCAGGGACCTGGCAGGAAGCCCTGGGTGTCTTCAGCCCCAGGGGAAGGGGGATTTGAAACCCCATGCAAAAGCTGCAGGGTGAGAAGCCCTTGCAACACTCAGGAGAGTTGCACAAGGTTGGGCTGAGAACAGACAGCAGTGGAGCCAAGAACAGCACTCAGAAAGGGCCTGTAACCTTTTCCCAAACGGGCTGTCCAGAAAGAGCTGCTTACTGAGAAAAAAGCAGAAAGAAATAACGTGGAAATCTTGTTCCTTATCTCAGCTTTCATTCTTGTAAACACTTTATCAGACTGCAGCTTGCCAGGCAGTTGCCCTCCCCTGGCAGATCCTTATCAGGATGCTCTCACTGATAACAAACTGGGTGGGGGAAGGCTTGGCTGGGCACCAGGAGATGGCCAGGGGCAGAGCCAGCGTGCTCCTGGGTGTGTTGTGTCTACAGGAACAACTCCTGGGCTTTGGAGGAGCTGTTGAGCTGCACAAGCCTTTGCTGCTCACGGGCAGACCCAGAGCCTGGGGAAGGACAAGGACATCGGGCCCTGCTCAGTGTCACTGCTGGGTTTGGTGGCACTGCTGGGGCTGCTGAGGAGCCACAGGCCCTGTGCAGCAGGGCAGGGACTCTCCAAGGGGGGGTTTTGTGTTCCCCACACCTTTCTGGCCCAAAAGCCATAAAAATAAAAGATGTTTCAGATGCAACGCAGATGGCAGTGGCTCCACACTGGGATCAGTGGCACTGTGCAGGCACTGAACCCAAACAGGAAACCATGGCCATGGAAACTGCACTGGAAAGTTTGTGTCCTCAGCAGCAGAGAAGGACTCAGCGTGAACCAGCACAGAGCCCCACAGCGCAGAGCTGGCTCAAGCAGGCCTGCAGGAGGATGCTGGCAGTGCATGAGGGCAGGCAGCCAGTCCCTCCCAGCCTTGCACTCATCCACTCCTCTAATTGAGGCAGGTTGCACTCTTTTAATTGCTTTGAGAGAGACACAACCTCCCTTTGCCCTGGAGCCCTGTAAGAGCAGCTTAATGGCAAAAGGGATTCCCTGAAGTTGTGTGACCAGGAGATGGAGAGAGGGCTGAGAGCAGAGGCAGGGGGTTGATGTGGGGGGCAGATTTTCTTTATCCAGGTCAGCCAGTACAGGACAGGGGCCAAGAGGGGCTGCACAGCATAAAAACACAGAATTTCCAGGAGCAGGGGGATGCCAAGGTGATTTACAGAATAAAAATCCAGAGCTACAGTGAGACACCCAAAAGCTGAAATGCACTCCTGAGATTTTTCCGCCTTGTCCCCTGAGGTCTGAAAAAAGCTGCTTGTTCCACTTCTGCTCTCTCCCCTGTCAGGAGGGTCTGGTAACTGTAACACCCCAGAAATTGGGTGTCCCAAGGAACTGGGCTTCAGAACCCCTTCTTGTGCCCTCCCCAGCTTGGCACTGGAGCCACCTCCTCACCTGCTGAGGATGCCCCTTCCCTCTGCTGTCACAGATGCTCAGAGGTGCTCACCCAGCCCTGCCAGCCCAGCCTCGGCTTTATCCAACCTTTTTCCATTGGCTCACCTTGGGCAAAGCTCCAAAGCATCTCCTGCCTCACTGATGGGGGGGATGTGGTGGAGAAGCTGATGCCTGTCCCGTGACACACACAAATGCAGTTTATTGATCTGGGACATCAGCTCTCTGCTCCCTTATAAAATGTTGTTAGTGGGAGCTAGAGAAAAGTGCATAGTGGCCTTTGGAAACCGTTGCTGTCATCTTTGCTTTTAGCTTTGATTGCAAAAGCAAAATCTGGCCCAGCAAACAGCAACCCCAGAGGTAAAGGCAGGACATGGACTCAGCATCCTTGAGCTGCTCACATCTTTCACTGTTCCTTGCCAACAAAAAATAACAGCAGTCAGGATGTCTCTTGCCTCAACCAGCACAGAAAGAACAGACAGAACAGCTGAAAGAGTTTAATCAATCCTCAAATCCACTTCTCTCCTCCTTGTAGCACTGGAGAAGTAAAATCCAGCCATAACTATTGCGAAACATCAGACAGTGACCCTCCAGCCAGGAGCTGGTGGCTGGGCTGGGATTGTGCAGGCTTTAGAAAGCAAAAGTTCAGCTGCAGTGTGGAAGTGTCTGTTTGAAAGCCCTTTCCCCAGCTGGGCACTGCACTGGGCTGCAATGACCACTGGAAATGCTCAGGCACAGCCCAGCAGGGTGGGAGCACAGAGCTCCCAGCAGAGCCAGCAGGGTCCCTGGGCACGACTGTGCAGGGATCACCTCTGTGGGAGCCAGGGCACAGCTGTCTGGGGATCAGCTCTCCAAAGCAGCAAATATCCTTTTCTCCCTGGGTTTTACCAGCAGCCACCTGTTCCACAAAATACCAGTGACAAAAACCCCAGAGCTCAATCCACAAAATACCAGTGACAAAAACCCCAGAGCTCCAGGATTTTCCCCTCGAGTTACTCCTTGTCCAGGAAACAATGAGAGAAGCCCTAAAAGCAGCTCCAGAACGAGTGAGGATTTCTGGTTAGTAGAGACAATCCTGATAAACTCCATTCCCCACGCTGGCAGGCAATTAGCAAAACATCCCAGACATCCAAGGCAGGACTTTCCAAAGGGAGGGAGAAGGCATTTCCCAAAACAGCCCCTGCTTCCCATGCTGTCAGTCTGCCTCCCTAAATAACCAACATAGATATGCACAATGGGAAGCCTTACATTCCTTTTAAAAACAAATCATTTTTAAAAACAAGTCATCCTAAAGGCAGACCTTTTATACCTGTCCCCAATATAAATGAAGTCCACAGCTCACATGTGAATGGGGCTATAGGTGCTGCTGAGAAAACAGATCTCCAAAGAACAACATCATCACCTTATTTACAGGGAATTGTCATCCCCTCAAAGGAAAACCTGCCAGGAAAGAGCCCTCCACCAGCACTAACAGTGGTTTATCTCCTACCTCCTTGATCCTGAAGCCGCAGCCTGGCCTCACTCTTATCTCTCGGATGGAAATGGGCAAATAGTCAAAAAACTGATTTCAACATGTCCCTCCCTCACTTCTCCTTTGAGCGCGGCTCCGATGACTCTGCAGAACCCAGGGGTGCCTGCCAGGCCTTGGCAAAGGGGAGAAGCAGCAGCAGGCAGGGAGAGGAAGGGAAGGTGTTTCACAATGAGAGACATCTCTGTTTGCCCTCTTTGGGGCTGCCCAGGTGAGATAAAGCCCTGGGACCCTCTGAGTGCTGCGGGGCCACGATCCCATAGCCAGGAGGGACGTCAGTCCCCCCTCCCTGTTTCCTGGGGGGCCCTGACCCCACATCTCCCCTGCCACACGCTCTCCTCAGCACTTGGGGGGCACCTCACAAAATCTGGTGGCACCTGGGAAGGAAAGGGGGAGCACACAGATATCCCACCTCGTTTGGGACATCTTAGAAGGATGTCAGGGCAAACTCCATCCCTCTGGGAAGAGCCAAGGGGACTTCCAGCCACCCACACAGGACAGGGCAGTTGTGAGAGCTCTGTTCCCCTTGCCTGTGCAGGAGCAGAGGTTTGGCACAAGAGCTGCCAGCAGGGACATGCGAGGATGACTCTGAGGAAGGCACAGAATTCATGTGCAGACCTGGATGTCCCTCATTTGCCTCACAGCACCTTGTGACCACTTTAAAATGTTTTCACCATCACAGTCATGTGCTGTCCTCCACTTCCCTCTCCCAGTGAGATAATTCCATTTCAGACACTGGATTTACCATCCCCTCACTGCAGGGACAGAGAATGGGGGACACATTTCAAAGGCAATTTATTTGCTGGTTTATTTGCTGGTTCAAAGACAATTTGGGGGCTGAGCTGAGAGCAGCAGGACCCACAGCAGGTGCCTGAGCTGAGGAGGGGCCAGGAGGATCCTTNCACCTCCCCATCACCCCCTGAGCTCCAATTCTCCTACCTCGGGGCTCTCCTCCCCGGGGAGGGTCCCCGGGGGGCTCTGGCCTGCAGGATCCATCTGGGGCAGGCTGAGCGTGGGGCAGGGCTGCAGCTGTGCCTGCAGCTCGCTGCTCACGGGAGGAAACCACAGCCCTTATCAGAGCGTGGCCATTTTAACTGAGCGGAAACGAGCTCGGGGCTCCTCGCTGAGCTCCCCGCGACGCAGGCGCCCCCCCTGGCCCTGATCCTCAGCACCTCCCAGCCCTGCTCCCCAGAACCTTCTGGCCTTGCTCCCCATCATTTCTCGACCCTGCTCCCCAACCCTGCTCCCCATCATCTCCTGGCCCTGTTCCCCATCATCTCCTGGCCTTGCTCCCCAGCTCTGTTCCTCAGCACCCCAACCCCGCTCCCCAGAACCTTCTGGCCTTGCTCCCCATCATCTCCTGGCCCTGCTCCCCACCCCTGCTCCTCAGCATCCCCAGCCCTGCTCCCCAGTGAGAGTAACAGCAGATTTGTCTTTACAAACCAGCTGTGGGTCTGCTGGTAGATAACACCAGCTCTGGAAGGTAAAAGGAACAATGGGAAGGATTCCACTGATTGATGAATGGAAAATGATATTTGCTTTTACAAATAAACTGCAGGTTTGCTGATAAATGATATTAGACATTGAGAGAGGAAAGAAACAATGGGGAAGAAAAATCCCTAAATTCTGT